GAGAAGGCAGGGAGGGTCAGGGAAGGTCAGGGAGGGACAGGGGGAACAGCAGGAAGAGGAGGGAGGCCAGGGACTACAGGGAGGGACAGGAAGAGAAAGGAGGGCAGGGAAGGTCAGGGGGGGACAGGGGGGGGGGAGGAAAGTCAAAGAGGGTCAGGAAGGGGCAGGGAAAGTCAGGGAGGGTCAGGGAGCGCAGGGAGGACAGGGATGGGCCCGGTGCTCAAATTTTCAAAAGTTCACACCTTAATTTCCTCTCTGGAGATGGAGAAGCAAAACGCATCAACAGACTCACCTATGATGCCCGATATAAGATGGAGGCTGAAATACTCGACCAAATTACCAGGATATTTACAGTACCGCAGCTAGACTCGTCCTCTTAATGTCATTTATGGAGAAAATAACCCATGTTTGTTTACCTTCATCACCTGACTCGTCTTTGTTTACCTTCATCACCTGACTCATCTTTGTTTACCTTCATCACCTGACTCGTCTTTGTTTACCTTCATCACCTGACTCGTCTTTGTTTACCTTCATCACCTGACTCGTCTTTGTTTACCTTCATCACCTGACTCGTCTTTGTTTACCTTCATCACCTGACTCGTCTTTGTTTACCTTCATCACCTGACTCGTCTTTGTTTACCTTCATCACCTGACTCGTCTTTGTTTACCTTCATCACCTGACTCGTCTTTGTTTACCTTCATCACCTGACTCGTCTTTGTTTACCTTCATCACCTGACTCGTCTTTGTTTACCTTCATCCCCTGACTCGTCTTTGTTTACCTTCATCCCCTGACTCGTCTTTGTTTACCTTCATCACCTGACTCGTCTTTGTTTACCTTCATCACCTGACTCATCTTTGTTTACCTTCATCACCTGACTCATCTTTGTTTACCTTCATCACCTGACTCATCTTTGTTTACCTTCATCACCTGACTCATCTTTGTTTACCTTCATCACCTGACTCATCTTTGTTTACCTTCATCACCTGACTCGTCTTTGTTTACCTTCATCACCTGACTCATCTTTGTTTACCTTCATCCCCGAGGATTAAAACACACGTTCATCCTCAACAAACACCCGTTCATCCTCAACAAACACACCCGTTCATCCTCAACAAACACACCCGTTCATCCTCAACAGACACACCCGTTCATCCTCAACAAACACACCCGTTCATCCTCAACAAACACACCCGTTCATCCTCAACAACACACCCATTCATCCTCAACAAAGAACAAACACACCCGTTCATCCTCAACAAACACACCCGTTCATCCTCAACAAACACACCCGTCATCCTCAACAAACACACCCGTTCATCCTCAACAAACACACCCGTTCATCCTCAACAAACACACCCGTTCATCCTCAACAAAGAACAAACACACCCGTTCATCCTCAACAAACACACCCGTTCATCCTCAACAAAGAACAAACACACCCGTTCATCCTCAACAAACACACCCTGTCATCCTCAACAAACACACCCGTTCATCCTCAACAAACACACCCGTTCATCCTCAACAAACACACCCGTTCATCCTCAACAAAGAACGAAGATACAAGTTAACATCTGCTTTCACAATCAATTACACACACACACACACACACACACACACACACACACACACACACACACACACACACACACACACACACACACACACACACACACGCACACACACACACACACGCACACGCACACACACGCACAACCAGCGATGTGTTAATCCGTCTACGATAGGAAGGCCTGGGACCACACCTCACTCATATAACACCATCTGTGAGGGAATTACTACACCACTTGAGGCCCCGCATAACACCATCTGTGAGGAAATTACTACACCACGTGAGGCCCCGCAAAACACCATCTGTGAGGGAATTACTACACCACGAGGCCCCCATAACACCATCTGTGAGGGAATTACTACACCACGAGGCCCCTCATAACACCATCTGTGAGGGAAATCACTACACCACGTGAGGCCCCGCATAACACCATCTGTGAGGGAATTACACCATGAGGCCCCCGTAACACCATCTGTGAGGGAACTACTACACCACGAGGCCCCGCATAACACCATCTGTGAGGGAATTACTACACCACGAGGCCCCTCATAACACCATCTGTGAGGGAATTACAACACCACGTGAGGCCCCTCATAACACCATCTGTGAGGGAATTACTACACCACGTGAGGCCCCGCATAACACCATCTGTGAGGAATTACTACACCACGTGAGGCCTCATAACACCATCTGTGAGGAATTACTACACCACGTGAGGCCCCTCATAACACCACCTGTGAGGGAATTACTACACCACGTGAGGCCCCCATAACACCATCTGTGAGGAATTACTACACCACGAGAGGCCATACATACACCATCTGTGAGGGAATTACTACACCACGTGAGGCCCTGCATAACACCATCTGTGAGGGAATTACTACACCACGTGAGGCCCCTCATAACACCATCTGTGAGGGAATTACTACACCACGTGAGGCCCTCATAACACCATCTGTGAGGGAATCACTACACCACGTGAGGCCCCTCATAACACCATCTGTGAGGAATTACAACACCACGTGAGGCCCCTCATAACACCATCTGTGAGGGAATACACACCACGTGAGGCCCCGCATAACACCATCTGTGAGGAATTACTACACCACGTGAGGCCCTCATAACACCACCTGTGAGGGAATTACTACACCACGTGAGGCCCCTCATAACACCATCTGTGAGGAATTACTACACCACGTGAGGCCCTCATAACACCATCTGTGAGGAATTACTACACCACGTGAGCCCCGCATAACACCATCTGTGAGGGTTACTACACCACGTGAGCCCCTCATAACACCATCTGTGAAATTACTACACCACGTGAGGCCCCTCATAACACCATCTGTGAGGGAATCACTACACCACGTGAGGCCCCTCATAACACCATCTGTGAGGAATTACAACACCACGTGAGGCCCCTCATAACACCATCTGTGAAATTACTACACCACGTGAGCCCGCATAACACCATCTGTGAGGATTACTACACCACGTGGCCCCTCATAACACCACCTGTGGGGAATACTACACCACGTGAGCCCCTCATAACACCATCTGTGGGGAATTACTACACCGTGAGGCCCCTCATAACACCATCTGTGAGGAATTACTACACCACGTGAGGCCCATAACACCATCTGTGAGGAATACTACACCACGTGAGGACCCTCATAACCATCTGTGAGAACTACTACACGTGAGGCCCCTCCTAACACCATCTGGGAGGTTACTACACTACGAGTTTGCTGTTCAACATACATTAATCTGTATGTTCACTGTATGTTCCTTTACCTTTCTCTAATAGGCTTTTGTTAATCCACCAATGTATGTAATAAGTCATTTATGTCCAATGTATATTTTCAGCCTTCGGGCTGCAGAACTTCAATAAACCGTTAATTATTAATTATTATTACACTTACACACACACACACACACACACACACACACACACACACACACACACACACACACGCACGCGCACACACGCACACACACGCACACACGCACGCACACACACACACACACACGCACACACACACGCGCACACACACACACACACACTACGACACAATTAACTTTCAGTACAGACGAGAGGAAGAACAACGTTAACGTCAACACAACTGCACTTGGGGAAGCCTTTTTTCTCCCCAGGATTACCTCCGACACGCTATATATAACCATCTGTTTCCCAGGATATCCTCCCACACATGCCAGGCCCATTATCCATGATCCTCTCGTGATATTTTTCCCCGGAGTTTTTGGTCGTATAAACACTATATTTTATCTATTCCATAATGGTTATCCTGCTATACATGTTAGACACACCTTACAAGACTTTGTCGTTAATATAGTTTTCCAGGAGTTTTTAGTCACAGAAACACAATACATATAATACATTTGTTGATGTAATATATTAAATTACTTCCAAATGATTTCCATCCACACAACTCATCCATTATACAATGCGAAGTCGTAATATATTAATTTAAATCCCGAGTTTCCTCCACGACTCTCACACAATATAGAACTGCGTGTCGTAATGTTTCTCTTTTTTTTTCCAGGACACGTGGCGTGCACACGATACAGTATAGTATGTTACCGTGTTATTGTATTCCCCAGGAATGTCTCCTGTACATTACCTTCACTTACACTTCACATCTAGTGTTTCTCTCGCACGATATTAAGTTCTCCCTTGGTATAATGACATGTGTAATACTAACACGAATTAATACTGTGTTCATTAATCGCAAATCCCTTGTCTGTCATAGAAGGCAATATATTAACTTAATGAAAAGTGCAGCCAATAACATTTAAGTCATATTAAGGCTTATGTGCTTAAATATTGTTTGTGTCAGTAAAGGCGAACACCTCGCTGTATAATGCAACAATTTTAACTCTAAAGCATACGTATATTATCAGCTGGTCTCCCACCCTGATAAGGTATCGGTAGTTAACTCTTATCTTGTCACTGATTCATACACAGCACCGTGTTAAACCTTTTACTATCATATCCTTCTTTAACCAACAGCAGACAGAAGGCCACCACCTTTATCTTCTCTATAAACATAACTTTAGGGATTTGTGGCCTCCGTGTGTCTTGTGAACAGGGCTCTTGTTAGTTAGAACGCATTGGCAACACCGAATTACGAGACATTGCAAATTTCAACAAGACTTCTGCAAGAGATATCCTTACAGATAGACCTATTATTGTCTCTCATTTACCTCACTATAACCTATAGAAAACATTAAGGCCCTGTTATGGCTTGTAAACTTGTCTAAACAAACACCCTACGTTATAACTGCTGACATCAACAATACCTTCTTTAACAAAATAAACATTAGTCCTCGCTATCACCATTATCTGGTCCCGTTACTGTCACATATATGAGAACCAAGACAAATATTAAAAGCGCTGGAGCCCCTCTCACCTGACAAGCCAGTCGCCCACCTCCACGAAGTACTTGTTCCAGTCTTCAGCCAGCTGGTGGAAGGACGGAGGCACCACCTTCACTTCATCCATGTCTTGAGGCCCCACCGGGCTGATGCCTCTTGGGGTTTCTACCAGGGTCGCCATCTTCTTCAAGATTCGTACCGAATCTCCTCAACTCTTGTTTAGTTTAGTGATCTACGTTCGTCTTGTCGTAGGTCCTCGTCACTGGTCTGGACTGATTCCAACTCAGTCTGGTGATGAACTCGTGTCCTTCGAGGGGAACTTGTCAAAGACCCAGATCGATTGTGTTTTCGATGAGTGGAGTTCAATTTCAGCTCGGTAAACTTTCTGACGTGTTTACTCTGGGCTGAGAGCGTGAGGAGGAGAGCCAGATTGAATTCCCGAGGTGTAGTGGCGACGATTGCCTCACTTCAGCTTGCTTGAGACGGTCGTCAGGGGTGATGATCACACCAGCGTCAACAAGCCTTTCAAGTGACACAAGGCGTACCTCTTGTCTGTGACCGACCTCACGCTGAGACCCTTCCTGCAGGACCACCTCAGGAAGGCACGCGAGTGAAAAAGGTGTGTTGAGTGTTTAAATTTCCTTGTACGTAGACACAACAATGGCTGGCGGTCTTGAGGCTCGAGACTTACTTTCCGTGGAAATAAACAAAGGATTTGAAGGCTCCAGGGAACCAGCAGAGGTTGTAGTTAGTGTGGTGAAGTTGCGGCGGTGTGTGGCTCTCTCCCCTCGGTGACCGCCGTACGTCCACACGTTATCTACGTCGTTGTTTCCTCCAGGCTACAGGTGTTGGTGCAGGTGTCCCGCCACAACACTTCACCTCCACCTACTTCATGACACCTGCTCAGTGTTGGGGTTTTGTTCACAGTTTTCTGACTTTACCGCGATGCATCATACAACATACACTGCATTTTCTTGTAACACAAAACTAAATAAAGCAGTTACAACTACTCAACAGAGTCGTTATAAAGGGTGTGTGGCGTACCTCGTCCCCTCCCGGCTGGCCAGCACAGGTGTCGACTCATCACAGGTGTACAGCGCATCATGAAGGCAGAACCTTCAAGATGTTTTGCGCAACATTCACCGCAATCTACACAACTTTGTAAACACACATCAGAGAGGGAAAGTCAACTGGGCAGGACCTCAAACACCCTTATCTTAGGCAACAGTTCACACAAATCAACCACACTATTATAATCACAAACCTCACACACTATCGGGGTCAACTAAATCCAACTGCGCACTGCCTCGTGTATACTGTACATGAGTGTCATGAACCCTCCACACGGCGCGGGAAACTCACCCTTCTCACCCCCACCATAAGGTTGATGACAGCGACACACATCATAACCTTGTTTCTTTTTCATTAAAATCCAGTCTGCCATGTTTACCTCAGTACACTGCAGCATATAATATCCGAGCAGGATAGGACTCGGAGCAACGGATTCAAGTTGGATAGGTTTAGGAGGGAGATAGGAAGAAACTGGTTCATAAATAGGGTGGTGGACGAGTGGAACAAGCTTAGCAACTTTATAGTAAGTGCGGGAACTCTGGAAAGTTTCAAAAGGAGGGTAGATAGATTCATGGATGATAGAGAGTGGTAGTAACTCTCGACAGGAGCTGCCATGCACAGGCCAACCGGCCTATTGCAGACTCCTTATTTTCTTATATCTCCTAACCTTGTCGCCTTGTGTACACTAACTGCCTACAACTACCATGCCGCCCAGGGACCCTGAGCCTATGGGGGGTAACAACGGGTATTTGTTGTGGTGGTTCAGCTGTTGCTATGCTGGTGGACGCGAGGTACACAAAGCTGGCCTTGCTTCACTCTATACGACACCACTACTGACCTCACTACACTCACCACACTATCCCTCACATCATACTCACTCATATATATATATACTCATATTCACCTTTGTTTAGAATCATCAGTACTGTACAACTAGACAATTATGGTAGCAGCATTAAAATAAGCCTCAATTAAATCATAATTGGCCTATGGTGACCTTAACCTAACCAAACATAACCAGACATAACCTGACCTGATTTACTCTAACTTAAATTAACCTAACCTGACCTGCCTCGACCTAAATTGACCTGACCTACCCTAGTAATATTGGGTGGGGTAATATGAGGTAAATTAAGCGAGGTTTGTTGTGGTGGCGAGACAGACTATTAGGCGACACATCACAGTCTTCCCGTCTGTGTAGTGTAGTGTTTCATACAACGTGTGACTCTCTGACCTACACCACAATAATAATAATAATAATAATAATAATATAATAATAATAATAAAACAATAACATTAATAATAATAAATAATAATAATAATAATATTTCACTACAACACTACAGCTCGTCTACACAGTATACAAACACTTTTGTTTTAGAGAAGCTGAAAGAAAATAACACCACGTGCCCCCCTTATTGTACTGTATTATTTCACAAAGGTTTAAAATATATATAAATTACTTTTCTTACATAAAAAACAGTATTTGTTTTTTTGGTTCAGGGCTTAGCTCAAGATTATTTCACCGTAAGATTAACCAATTTAACGCTAATCTAACCTACCACTTACAAAATTTATCCTGCCTAACCTAATCTAACCTACCTTAACGCTAATCTAACCTACCACTAACAAAACTTAACCGAACCTAACTTAACGCTAATCTAACCTACCGCAAACAAAACCTGACCAACTTTACCCAACCAACTTAACCAAAACAACCTAACCTTACCTAACCGTACCCAACCAACCTAACCTAACTCAACCTAATCTACCCTTACCCAACTAACCTAACCTCACTTCACTTACCCTAACCTTAACCATCCAAATTAACCTTAATTATTATAATTGTATTATTAATATTAATAATACAGTAATAGTAATAATAGTAGCAGTAGTTGTTGTAGCAGCCTGGTTGAGATGTCGACTGTCCTTCTCTCTGCTTAGGTCTGCATTGCTTTGCCTCAGGGGAACGAGAGCATCGGCCCCAAAGCCGACAACGGTCGCACACATTGACTATGAGGCAAATCACTGAATGCCGCATAGACCTGCGGCACAGCTAGTGTAGCTACTGTTGTATTAGGATATTAAATTTTAAGACAATAAAATGGCGGCGAAGGTGTGGCTATCCGAGGAGGCTGGAGGCCACGTAGAGAAAAATAGGCAGTAGTAGTAGTAGTAGTAGTATCAACACTTCAATATAACAAAACTTAACAGCTGACACGTGAGCCAGGTGAGAGTGCCACCCCCCAATAAAGGTGCCTACACGAAAGACTGAATGCCACCTGCACAAATAAACGGTGGCATACGTGTCGAACACAGTAACACAACACCTGCTGGCACCACCGGATCAATCTTCCTTTGTAACTTTAAACTTGGTCCAACTGCAACCAAAATTTAAACCTTTACCACACTATCCACTACAACACTACCGTGCCACACCCCTAGACCACCCACCTTGGGGAACGGCCGCCTGATTTTACAGTTGGGTCAGTGAATGTGGTCTAGTACAGTGCCGGCAACACTCCTATACTGTTGTTTATAAGTACGCGACCCTGGAGCCCCACACAACTCACTGCTCCAAGCTGTGACAGTTTGAACATTGGCTGTCCTTAATAATGTTGTTGTAACTGTGACAACAAAGTAAAGTATAAGAATTGGTCATAAGAGAACGAGGGAGACGAAGCACAATGCAATAAAAAAGGAATAAAAGAAAAACAGATAAACAACGTCAACAACGAATAATAACAAACCGATACGAAGGAGAAAACAGTAATAAGATGATGACAGGGAAGAGAATGAGGGGATTACAAACACCTGTAGACGATAAAGAGGAAATAAGGAAGGACAGATAAAGAAGGTTGGGTTATAAAGGAAGGACAATAATGGTGTGTACAAAAGGACTGTGGCAATAACAAGGGCAGTTTCATCAGTGTTATTTCGCAATACCTACCAGTTATGGCTCTCTCTAGGGAGGGAGGGAGGGAGGGAGGGAGGGAGGGGAGAAGGCTTAACATACGAAGCTTTAAGAATCCATCACTACATTCTCTTATGTACTGCATAATAAACGAGAATAATTACCTTAGATAACTTAGTCTAAGTTGTTGGACTCAACAAGGTAAGCTTAGACTCGACATCGGAAAGCTTAGACTCGACACAGGTAAGCTTAGACTCGACACAGGTACGCTTAGACTCGTCACAAATAAGCTTAGACTCGACACAAGTAAGCTTAGACTCGACACAAATAAGCTTACTCGTCACAAATAAGCTTAGACTCGACACAAATAAACTTAGACTCGACAGAGGTAAGCTTAGACTCGACAGAGGTAAGCTTAGACTCGAACAAATAAGCTTAGGTTCGACACAGGTAACCTCTCGTGAGACTTCTTCATTAACCACACGCCCTCCTGCCTCCACCTGTGTATGTCCCATGGTGACACCTACACGGACACACACACCTGATGTACGTGTTCAATACACACACACACACACACACACACACGAGTCACATTCTCCAAATACACACACGCGTTCACACAATATATTTACACAAGCACAGCACGCACACACACACACAAAACTCAGTCCTAAAACATACATACACACGCAGGAACACACACAGGAACACACACACGGACACAGACATCCGGGTCATATAAAACATTTACACGTTATATACAGTATTCCCCCGTGCCGTGAGGGCCTCCACTACCTGCCTGCCTGCCCTCGCAACCTCAACCACGGCAGAACAGTTACACGAGTTGAGTTCATTTACCCTGTACTAACACACACAAAGAAAACAAATATTGAGGAATTTTAGTGAACTGGTTAACTACTTCGGTGTATTTGATATTTGGTTAACGAGGCAGATTAACAAGCAAACGCAATTATATTTACAACTACGACTCATACCACTGTTTATATTTCCGTTTTCTAATCCTCTCGTTTTCTGTTGGAGGGACAAGGTAATGACGTCACCAAGCTCTGGAGGACGGCGGTTGGGTTCTCAAAAATTTACAGCATTAATCTACAAACTAAAATAAAAATAATCACATAACAGTCATACGGCAATTATGATGTCATTACGAAGACCATCTGAGGTTTCTGCGGCAATCAAGAGAATGTAAGTAATCACATTAGTCTCAGGACAATTATGACGCCATTATGGAGGCCATTTTCACATCAACTGTCATGGCAGGACAAATAGCGCGGGAGCCATTATGAATCACGGCCAGGAGAGAGAGAGATTAAAGTAAGATGAAGAGATTAAAGGGGAGAGAAAGAGAGTCTCCCCCCTCTACCATCACCCTCACAATAATCACATTACCTAGTGAATATAACTGAAGGTCTTACTATATTAAACTGACCCTCCTCCCTCCCTCCTCCATTCTCCCACCCTCCCTCCCTCCCCTCTCCACCTCCCTCCCTCCCCTCTCCACACCCTCCCTCCTTCCCTCACTCTCCACACCCTCCCTCCCTCCCTCACTCTCCACACCCTCCCTCCTCCCTCACTCTCCACCCTCCCTCCCTCCTCCTCCACCTCCCCTCCCTCCTCTCCACACCCTCCTTCCCTCCCTCCTCTCCACACCCTCCCTCCCTCCCCTCACTCTCCCACCCTCCCTCCCTCCCTCACTCTCCACACCCTCCCTCCCTCCCTCACTCTCCACACCCTCCCTCCCTCCTCTCCACCTTTCTTCCTCACTCCCACACCCCTCCCTCACTCCCCACACTCCACCCCCCTCCTCACTCTCCACACCCTCCCTCCCCTCACTCTCCACCTCCCCTTCCTCCACTCTCCACCCTCCCTCCCTCCTCCCCACACCCTCTCTCTCTCTCCCTCCCTCGCTCGCTCGGTCTCCAGCGGGACGTGTGACGTAGTTAGTCACAGACATCTGACCCAAAACCGCTCTGAGAACTACGACCTCGGAGACCCCCCTCCTGCCTGCCTGCACTTTATTTCTGGCTTCAACAATCATTATTATCCATTCATTGCAAAGTTTCTTTCGTTAAGTTTTCATCTCTCTCTCTCTCTCTCTCTCTCTCTCTCTCTCTCTCTCTCTCTCTCTCTCTCTCTCCTTCTCTCTCTCTCCTAAACCCTAGTGAGCTACAGTATATATTAACCATAACCTGCCTCCTC